TAGCTACAGCACTATCAGACAGACATCTTGTATAGAAATTTTTGCCCAATGGCGTGTAGTTCAGCAATACAAACTCATAAGTTATCAAACAGTGGTCGGACAAAGAGGGATTCTGTGGGAACACCACTAAATGTTCAATTTCAATACCATACACCAAAACAAGGTCGAGGGTGAAGTTAAAACAGTGAGTCGGTTCATGAACACTCTGAGAGAAGCCAATGGAATCTAACAGAAAGATAAACGCAGTACTAAAGCTGTCATTCTCAACGTCCACATGAATATTAAAATCACCTACAATAATAACTTTGTCCGTTTTAAGGACTAAAGTTGACAAAAACTCTGCAAATTCAGATAAGAATTCAGAATACGGGCCAGGTGCTCGGTACACTATAACGAAGAGAATTGGTTGCAGTGATTTCCAACTTGGGTGCGAAAGACCAAGAACAAGGCTTTCAAATGAGTTATAATTTAGTTTAGGTTTAGAGCTGATTAGTAGGGTAGAGTCGAAGATAGCTGCAACTCCACCTCCTCGGCCTGTGCCTCGAGGACTGTGAGTATTAATATGACTGGGAGGGGTGGATTCATTTAGGCTAACATATTCTCCATCACCCAGCCAGGTTTCACAAAGACAAAATAAATCAATATCATAATCTGATATTAGTTCATTTACTATTACAGCTTTAGAAGAGAGAGATCTGATGTTTAAGAGTCCACATTTAACTCTCCTATTCGTTTGCACTATTGCTCTTGTGGTTTTAATTTTTATGAGGTTTTTATGCACAGCTCTTCTTCTGTTTACCTTTTTAAATAATTTCGATGGTCGGGGGACAGACACCGTCACTATAGGATTTTCACTAAGTAACTCCTGAAATGGAAGAGCAGAGAAGTGTGTTAGACTGCGACTCTGCGTAGGGTTTTGGGTGGGTAACTGCTGAATTAGAAGGGCAGAGAAGTGTGTTAAACTGCGACTCTGCCTCCTGGTCTCAACTCTGGGTTGTCATGGATTTGGTCCACTAATAAACTTGGCCAGATTTCTAGAAATGAGAGCTGCTCCTTCCCAAGTGGGATGGATGCCGTCTCTCCGGATCAGACCAGGTCTTCCCCAGAAAGTCTGCCAATGATCAACAAAGCCCACATCGTTTGCTGGACACCACCTCGACAACCAGCGGCGGAATGACGCCATGCAGCTATACATGTCATCACTGGTCAGATTTGGCAGGGGTCCAGAGAAAAAAAAGAGAAAACTACGGTGTCCGACATTGTTTTTGCATATGTACACACCGACTCAACATTAATCTTAGTGACCTCCGATTGGCGTAACCGGGAGTCATTACCGCCGACGTGAATAACAATCTTACTGTACGTTTATGCTTAGCCAGCAGTTTCAAATAAGACTCAATGTCGCCCGCTCTGGCCCCAGGGATGCACTTAACTATGGCCGCTGGCTTCGCTAACTTCACGTTTCTCAAAATGGAGCTGCCAATGATCAGAGTTGGTTTCTCAGCGGGTGTGTCGCTGAGTGGGGAAAATCTGTTAGAAACGTGAACAGGTTGATGGTGCCCCGCGGACTTGAATGCTTACGACTATTCATCCTTCGGACAGTCACCCAGCCCCCCCTCCTTCCTGGCTGCACAGGGGATGCCGGAGGACGGCTACCAGAGGCTAACTCAGGCCGTTCCGCACCGACTACCGGGGACTGGCTAGCTACAGTAGCTAAAGGTTGTATTGTGTTTTATAAAATAATGCTTTTGTCTGATAGACAATACAAGTGTTTTTTTATTGAATCTTAGTCATCTCATACAAAAATCAGCCAAAACAAAAGAACATAAAACGACAGAATAATAGAAGATGAAACAACAAGAACAAGTAACAAGCAACAAAGGCATTAAAGAAAAATATTTAAATCTTTACACATTTGAACTGTTTTAATTGCTTTAATATTCTTTAGACCACATAATGCTTCAATATAATGTTTGATTTGTAGTTTGAAATGTTGTGTTTGTGTTTTCTTTTTAGACGATTTGTATTTGTGAGTGTAATAATTTCCATAAAAGATAGAGGTTCAACATATAACAGTTATAGCCTAGCAATCAATATCAATCTTATCATAAAAGAATGTGAGGTCTCTTTTTCATAAATTAATAACTGAACCAATGGCTTAAAGAAATATTATAAATCTAATAAAAATAATTTGGTACATATAGCCTATAATCATAAAATAAATGGCAAATAGTTTCGGTTTTATTATTGCACACTTTTCCTCAATATCATTCCTGAATCTTAATACAGCTGTTTGTTTGATAAAGGTGTGATAGCAGTGAGTGATAGTGCAGCGCTAAGGAGAGGGTAGTTCATCCGAAAGTTGGCAGTTGTATTTATACCCTTGTTAGGGAGCTCAATTTGGCTGTTTGGGTGACAAAAAGAAGCAAACCAAGAATAATGGAGTTGCTTTCCACCAGCTCTGGGAGACAGCTCTTGGTGGTAGGAGCAGGCAGCAAGTTTTGGCAAATAACTTAGTGGTCATGAAAATCTATTCAGATTTACCCTATTGATGATGCATTTACCTCATAAATCATGGCACACTGTTCTCCCCTGAATGACAGAAAGCCAATTGTTATTGGTATCAGTGATTCTGGCCCTTTATTACTTGGTATTGTGTAATGTGTTGTGTTTTCTTATTGTGTTGTGTTTTCATAATATGTTGTGTTGTGATCTCTTTGCACGTGTTTTCTTAAGTTGCAGTTCGATGGTCTCTCAGGACCACCCTTACATGGCTAGTAAGGAATGAACTGGCCAATGAATTGCAACTTTTCTTCTAGAATGGTAAGTAAACAGCTGTTAATGCTAACGTGTAAAGGTAGCTAATTGTATAACATTACTGATTTTGTTAATGTGCTAAGTTAGCTGTTTGTTGAAGGAAATGGGGGGGGCTGTGCATTTCCTTGTTCCTTGTTCTCAACTTTGTGGTGATATTCGTCTAACAGTTTGTTTGGAGTATGAATTCAGCAGATGGCCAATTCACCTTAAAGCCACAATTTACATGCTGCACAAAATGCACAATAGAATAGCACATTCCCACAGAGAAGATAGGTGATATAGCTCAGTTGATTTCATATGGAAATATCTGCATTGCATATTAAATGAGACCCAGATCAGACAACACTTCACAATATGTATGGGCATCTTTTTCCTGCAGCTCAACTTAGCAGGATAATCCACTGTTTGATATTTCTTATGGATCATCTATCAAAGGACCAATGAAGAGCCTATTATGTTGTGTTACCCACACTCCTTAACAATTTACAAATGCTTCTACACTGCACACAAGTTTCCCCCAAGCACTTAAATGTGCCAAGAAGCTATATAATTGTGTGATGTGTGATTAATGTGAGGTGGTACAGTCAACTGAATGGATTTCTCTACAGGATGAACAGCAGAGGCAATAAGGTAGAAGGGGCTCGGCTTTAATCAATAATGGTATAACCTCAGGAGGTGAAATAATTACACATCCCCTGGATTTGAACAACTGGGAGCCACGAGAGGCTGATCCACATGCGGGATCCATGGAGCACTGCTGTCGAAGGACCCGCATTTTTGCAGTTAAGATCACCAACACTTCAGGATCACTGCTGAGATTAGCACAGCTACCTCTGGAGCGAGTGTGGCCCAGAACTCGTATCCCTCAACCAAATCCCAAGCACCTCATTATTGCAGCCTCTTTCCTTGATGTTCCATAATCTGCTGTCATTGGCTCCCGGGCTAGTAGTATCTCCCAGTCATCTTGCTGTGCCCCTGCGACTTGGAGGGGGGAGAGCACATGGAGGAACAAAGGGGGGCTGCAGAGTCATAAATCTTCTCCCAAACCCAATGCAGGAAATACATGAAGAGGCTTTCTGGCGTTGGTTGCTTCTGTTGCTCCTCCCCCACTTGTCATCATCTCACTATCTTTCTCTTTCTTTGCTCTTGCTGTCATTACTCCTCCTCTTTTCTGTCAAGTCTACTTAAATTTTCTCCATGCCTAATAACATCTCAATGTCAAGCACCAATCCATCTGTCTCTCTCTGCACTGTATGTCCTGAAGTTAACACACTTCCCAATCACAGAGAATCCACTTCCCTGTGGCAGTTACTGAACAAAATTTTAAATATAGGGATAATAAATGAGCAAGTGGCCAAGCTGAGGTCAAAATACTTTAAATTCAGTTTATTCAGCAGGCATCGTGTACTTTATGTGTGGAGCTGCAGTTGCAATTCAAGTCAAGAATTTAGTGAAAGTGACACCAAACCTGATTTGCAGGCTACTTTGGAACATGCATTCTGGGTCAAAATGCCCCTTTCCTCCAGTTATCTTTACCTAACTGCTTTCCCTTTGTGCTTGCTCCTCTTTACCACATTATTTTCACTCTGCTCTCATCTTTCTTTGTTACTTTCTTCCTCTTCTGCTTTTTCTTTTTTCTTTCTTTTTTTTTTCTCAAAAAACACTCTTTTCTCTGCTTCCACTTAATATCTCTCTTAAACCCTTGGGGCTTTTTCTTCAACTGCTGTTTTAGAGCAATTGATTACACCACACTCCTCTTCACCATCGCTCTTTTCCTGTTCGCATGCCCAACACACACGCACACTTGCACACATCTCTCTTTTCCCTACCTCTCACTGTAATACTGTTCTTGACTTTTAACTCTTAACATATTTCTCTTTGCCCGAGAGAAGGGAGCCATGTGGTGGATGTATACGCACACAGACACACACACACACACACACACACACACACACACACACACACCCATTGATGCTGAGGGTCTGTGTAAATAGGCATAAACACACACTCTTATAAAGGACAAATCCTGACAGAGAAGAGGTCCAATCTCTGTGTGGAAGTGAGAAGAGAGTAGCATTCAATAGAGAGCACACGCATATTTACATCCTTTCCATCTCTTTTCTCGCCCACTCTGACTCTAACTCTACCTCTCTCTCTATCTCACTCTCTCACTCTCTCTCCTCCTCTCCTTCTTTCCCTCAGACACACACACACACACACACACACATGCACAGACAAACCCCCTCTCACATAGGAGTAGATAGAGAGCGGTGAAGAGCAGAAGGAGCAGAGCTGAGGCAGGCAGGAGGGCTGTTGTTGATTGAACAAAGCCAGGAAAGGAGTGCGCAATCCTGGGGAGATCAGCAGCTGTGAAATGCCTCGAAGGGAGCCTGCCAGCTACTCCTGCAGAGACCTGAAGGTAAGCCTTGTGCACCGCTGATGGAGAAAAAAACAGAGGAATAGACAGAGAGGATAGAGGAGGTTGTAAAGCCGCTAATGCATGGTACTGTGGCTCCACATCCAAGCTGTCTCCTCTCAATTTGTCTGTGGATGGCATCGCCTGCTGTGTTGATGTGTTTCATTTCACAGCCACAAATCCCAAATGGAGATGCTTGCTAAATAAAAAAGTATGCATTACATGAAAGCAGATCTATAGAAAACTATGAGAGTTACAAAAGCTAGAAACAGGGAGACAAGGACAGATAGCGAGAGAAGATGTGAGGTAAAGCAAGGCAACAGAAAGAGAGCAGGAGCAGGAAAGTGATCATGGAAAAAGTGGCTGGATTACCCTCCTCAATCGGTTACAACCTTTATCATCACATCTTGTCTCCTTCATCTTATGTCACCGGAGAGATACATAGATCATCACCATGCATCTCCTTGCTCTCATGGCGGGGGCAGGGTAATCAAAAAGGCAATGGATTTCTCTGACGCAAGCAGAGAAAAGCCTGTCAACACTATTGCTGTTTGTGCAGACTCGTGTGCTGTGCTGTAGATCTCTCAGTGCAATGCAGGAGTTTTACGAGCGTAGCAGCAGCAGGACCAGAAGCAGGAGTCAATGTGCATGTGTGTGTTACTGTAAATGCGTCTGTGTGTGTGTGTGTGTGTGTGTGGGAGGAGGGGGTTTGTATCACTGTCACACAATGCATGTTTTAGCTCTTACACGTTTTTATACATTCAACAAAAGCAGGAGATAAAGCGGCAGATGTGGGGTATTGGTAGCTGTTGCAATGTTTTCATGAATATTGTAGGCTACACTAGAAGCATTGAGAGAAAATCATTTATATTGATTCCCATGAAACAATCTCTCTGGGCTGAGGATTAGGGCTGCTTGCTTTAATGTGTGATGTACACCACTATTTTCTCCTCAGTTGTAGCTCCGGTACAGTGCACTCTGCAGGACACACATCTCGAGAGTTGTTGCTGTAAAACTTTGATGACGATGCAGTGGGCTGAGCAGCCACATTAATCGAACACAGTTTCCCCAAAGCATCTGTCCTTCCTCGTATTGTCTCATCAGGAAATGTCAGGACTGCGCCAAAGCAATCGTAATTTTTTAAATATCTGTTCTCTGGCACACCATGGAGGAATAATAAGTGCAAACCTTGTCTGCAGTCAATATTAACCACATTTTTACATATGGCACATACTTAACACAAACCCAGTGGAGCAAGAGGAAAGGGAAAGCCCATACTGACAAAATGATTTCTTAATAATGGCTTTGCAACGAAACCTGTCTGTTTGCCACACTTAAGGCTACTTTTATCACCGTAATCTACCATGATGCTCACAGCTGGATGAACCGTGATTGGCTATTTAAAGAGTCTAGGGGGAAGTGTAAACCACTAAGAAGTAATGTTTTTTGATGGATGGCCTTTTGACCTCAGCGCTATCATAGCTGCAACTCAGCGCTGCGTACCTTGCTCCCCTCCTGCTCAGTTATTATCCATGTCCTGATCTCCCTAACAAGTGGACAAAAAAGGAAAAAGGATATAGTACACAGCAGGATCTTAGAAAACTCTCAAAAGAGAAGACACTGTGAATAATTAATTGCCTCTGTTTATTTAGTCAAGACTGTGAGTCTGTAGGGGATGTGGGGAAGGCGCCGTTCGTCAAGCAGATCCACATTCACTAATACTGCAGCGGCACATTTGTGTCAAGAGCTTAGCCAGGCGTTAAGATTTTTTTCTTTTTTGTATTTAGTGCCATGGAAAATGTGTGTACATGTCAGAGTACTGCATAAAAATACAGTATTTTTTATTGGGCGGTTGAGACCCACATGCCTTATTTATGCAACACTACTGAATTAGTTGTGATGTGTATATTTTCCTTAAGTTTTAGGTTGTGCACTTTAGTTTGAGCTGTATATGACTACAATTCAATCTCTTGGTATTTGAATGAAACTGATAAACAGCATAACATTTCTTACACAATCTAGTCCTTTCCTAAGGAAAATGGTTCTTATCCACTACATTTCTATTTTCATCTGTTTTTATTTTTCGGTTTTATTGCTGAAACACAATACCTATAACATAAATACAGCAATTGGAAAAGGAACCCAGAGTTTGGATTAAAGAGCAGCATCCCTTGAGATGACCCATGAACCTAGATCATCTGGAACAGGCACCACGTCGAGCGTGGCGATCTTCCTCCTGGCCCAACTTGGAATTAAGGCTGGCTAATGTTCGGTCTGGATGAAATGGGACTCTGGCTGGCCAAGCAACAGGAAACCAGAGACTGTTCTATCTTACCTTTACAGACACCTTCTCCATCAACATCCCAGATCAAGCACAGGTGGGCCGTGTTCTGAGAGGACAGAGCACAAGACTCAAGCAAGATGAGAGCAGGCGGATTCTATATTTACGTTGATTATGCTTGGTGCTCAAACACAGTCAAAGTGGATGGACACTCTGACTCTCTCCCAAATGTCAGACTTTTTATGTGGAGATGAAAACCACATTGTCATCACTATCTTGTCACTGCTGTTTACATTATCCTAGACCTAAACCTACATTGTTTTACGTTATTTGTTGTGTTTAGCATGCTACCCTGTTTAATAAATTTTATTTACAGTTATGTTCTATATGTTTAGCATGAAGGGACTACAAACTTACATGTCGCCAAACATTCCTTGTGTTTTATATAAATAAATTGTCTTGATCCTTAAAAAATCTGCAACCAATGCAAATTCAAGGCCCTGTGTTAAAGTTACTGGTTGTAGGCCTAACAGCAAGTGTTGTTTAATACTGTTGTCATACTCTGTCCCTCCTCTTCACCCACATCCTTGGTTCCCCTAGACCTTTCATTATCATTTTACATATGTCCACCAAATGCCCCCGGACTTTCCCTCCTTTCCACATCACCTGACTACCCCTCGCATTTACACACCTGTTCCCACTTATCAGCCCTGCAGTTACCAGTGTTTGGGACTTTGCCTGCCTGCTAGCATCCAGTGTGCTAGCCTCCAGCCTTCACATTGGCCCGCTAGCAACCAGCTTCCACTCCAGTCCATTATGCTTAGGTTTGTAAGTCTGAAGCCTTCCTTTCCTGAGCCTGTTAGCCCATTAAATGTCTGTTCTGAGCAGGCTAGCCTTCTACTTGTCTAGGGAAGATCTGAAGAGCCACCCTAATGCCCAGTGGTCACCCTTTTGAAGAGACTAGCTATGCTATTTTTACAGTACAGCATACTGAGGACTTTCCATAAGGAGATGGGTCCTGATGTCACTAGCTCGTTCAGCTGCCAAGTGCCACTGAGACTCAGTTGCACAGCACTTCTGCCTATTCACCAGAAACACCGAAATGCCACAAGCCATGTCAGGTCCCCAGTCTGCATCCCAGTCAGCTGCCTGGCAGCTCTCACTCATCAGTCCCTCCTGAGCTGCAGCAGTCATCTGGTCATGCTGAGCTGCAGCAGTCATCTGGTCATGCTGAGCTGCAGCAGTCACCAGTTCCTCCTGAGATGCAGTAATCCACTTAGTCTGAGCTGCAGCAGTCTCCTATGGCTATGGTTCAGCAGGATCCTGTTTCCCTGGCTCCACAGCCTCACCTGTCGGTCTCCCAGCTGCCGCTTTCCCCAAATCCTGCAGCCCTGTCACCAGCCTCCGTCTCTGCACTCCAGCGGGTAGTCCCCTGCCCTGCACTTTAGCGGGTGGCTATAGTCCTGCTCTCCAGCCACCATCCTCCGAGCCTGAACTCCAGACAATGCATGCTTATTAAATGGGCTGTGTCAACCTGCAGCAGCATCTTCTGGTGGCAGCTGCCTTTCCTGACCTCCAGCCTCATCACCAGCCTGAGGTCTCCTGCTCCTCCCAGCCCTCATGCCATCCTTCTGCACCACCCATGTTCTTCAGTTCCCAGACTACTTGCTCCTGAATCCTTTCCTGACCAGCCTGATGGAACATCTACAATTCGTCCCTTGAGGGGACGTCTCCTCTTCAGCCACTTCCCTGGTTCCCCAGGTGCTTTTGTTGCCATTTTTCATCTGTCCACCAGATGCCCTCAGACATTCCCTCCTTTCCACATCACCTGATTATCCCACCCATTTACATACTTGCTTCCACTTCTGTCATCAGCCCTGCAGTTACCTGACCTTCCCTGCTCACCTGTTTCCTCTCTCTCTCTCATCAACCCTACATCAGCCCTTTTCCACTCACTCCCTACCAGAGCTTCCTATATTAAGTTGCTGTGTATCATGTCTTGGTTCCATGTTTCTGTCTGCCATACCTGCATGTTGTGCTTATTGTGTAAATAAATTACTGAACTGGATCAGCTCTGCCTCTGGAAGCTGCATTAGGGGCTTAGTTAGTGGCTTCTCTTTCTTGTTCCATTACCCCCACCTTACCAAAGCAATAAAGGCATTGTTGCGTCTGTGAGTCGCATTCTAGCGGTTCGTCAAAATAAAAGTCCTGCCTTCTGCATGTGTAAAATGATCAACAAATATGCAAATAATAATATGAAAATAGCTTCTTGTTTCAGGTCACCTTGCTCTTAATGTCGGTCAGTGTGCTCATCTGAGACAGTCTTGTTTACCTTTCAGGTGATTTGAAATCAAATTTATGTAGAAACACTACATGGTTACCAAAAAGACTATTCAATATTATATGTCATAGATTACATTTTAACAACTGTGAAAATGCATTCCAGTATACATCCCATGTCCAGGTTAACAAGCCCTCAGAATCTTCATTATGGCTTATGTTCTTATCTGTCAGCAGCAGGTTATGTGGAATGAGATCTCCAGCATCTCCTGCTCCTGGTTTAGCTCCACTGTTTAGCTTCACTTTATCTGGCGTTATTATAATAAAGGATCCCTCATACTGTTTACTGGGACTCCTTTGTTAAGCATGGCAGACAATAGCATAGATGCGTTGATGTCTCGTGTCAAGCTGACACGCATTCAGGTCAGGCAAGTTTAATTAA